ATTTATTTATTTTTTTGCAGAACTGGGGATTGAACTCAGGCCCTTGCACTTGCCAGGGAAGTGCTTATTCCACTGAGTCATCTCCCCGGCCCCTTCTCCTACATTAGGATTTGGGATCCAGTGAACAGAGAGCCCAGTGGGCCAGGAAAATCTCATGAGAGCGCTGTTGTGAAGCCAGTGAATTAGCGACCCTGGGGTCTCCTAACTCTGGACTTCTTTGCAAGGTAAAAACATTTCCTTACTCTTTAAACTTCTGCACTTGTAAAGGGGACTTCTGTTCATTGTGGCCCTAAACAATTAGATAAATCCCCATCCTATGAAGTAGCTTATTGTGTGGAGTACATGAATTCCTCTCTATCAGTGAAACTCCCGTAGGAGTGCTAACCTCACCTCCCTCAGCCCCTCCCTCCAGCTCCTTGACGTGCAGCACACTCCAGTCCATGTTCCCCAACTGGTACCACCGCCTCCCATCACCAGCAGCCATACTAGGGTTCAGTTCCAAGTCAGCCTCCTACTTGAAGCTTTTATTCCATCCCTGGCTCCATCTCTCTAATTCCAACATCACTGCCTTTCACTTTCCTTCACCTGGGGCTTGCCTTTTTGTTTATTTTTCTTCCATGTCTTCTTTCCTCATCTTATTCTCTGTAGCACAAAAGGCCAAAATTGAGCTAAAAGAAATTTAGATCCCAGGCTTTGTAGGAAAGACTTTCAAAGAAAGCCAAAGATAATGGACCACTTTCCGGAAGTCACACATAAGGATTATGAAGAAATGGGAGCAGCCGCTGGACACCACATGAACAGCTCCAGCTTCTGTGCTTCCCCTGCACCCAGTCCCAGCACCACTCCTGAAACTGGGGAGGGGGCATCCTTAACAAAGCAGAAGTCACTGCAGAGTCGAGCACACAGCCCATGTTGGGTAAATGTCAGGGAGTGAGAAGTGACCCCACATCACGTGATCAGAGCTCTGGTTTCTACCTCAAAGCTTTCTACTCTAAAAACAGGCTGAGCTGGGGGTACCACCAGGAACAACACTGCTATCCCAACTGTTACAAACCTCATCTGTGTGCCAACATTGAAGCAAAGCAGGAGTTAGGCTGTTCTGAACTGAAAAATAAAATCTTGGATTATTTTTATTTTTAAGATTCCTATTTTTACATTTAAGATTCCTATCACCACCATCTGAACCATCACCATCATCACTATTATTTTGTGCATGTTAGAATCAAACCCAGGGCACTGCACATGCTAGGCAAGTGCTCTTCCACTGAGTGGGACCCCCAGGCCTACGGTTGTCTTTCCGATTAAGTAGAAGCAGCGTTCACAAGGACCATAACCCACTGAAGAAATCAGCCAGGACCCTTGAAGGTATGTCATATAATTCTAGCACGTGTTTAACCCATTCTGGATTTTAAAACATACTGTCCCTTTCATTAGGGAATATCAAGTCAATACTAAGAACTTGTGCAAGACTGTTTATATTATAGGACAGAGTAAAAAACTGTAATAAATATTCTGATATTTAAATAAGCTTCAAATACTACAAAGTACAAATGGGCTAATAAAAACTGTCTTTGACGGTGCTCAAGAACACCAATGCAAGGGCTGGGGAGATAGCAGAACAGCATAAGTACCTGCCTGGCAAGCGCAAGGTACTGAGTTTGATCCCTGGTACAAAAAAAAAAAAAAAAAAAAAGAACAGCAATACGAGCCAGGCATGATGGCACATGCCTATAATCCCAGCACTCAGGAGGCTGAGGCAGCAGGATCATTGCAAGTTCCAGACCAGCCTGGGCTACAAAGTGAGCTCAAGGCCAGCCTGAACTGCATGGTAAGACCCTGTCTTGAAAAGATCAAAAAAACAAAATAAACAAACAGCAGTGCAGTACTATATTTTCATCACAAGTGACTAATATGAAATCTGCAAATGCCAGGATTCATTTCTATACTACTCTCATGTGGGCATGGAGACATCCTTTCTCAATTCTTCTGTTTTTTTTTTTTTTTTTTTTTTTTTGGGGATTGAACTCAGGCCCTTGCGCTTGCCAGGCAAGTGCTTATTCTACTGAGCCATCTCCCTGGCCCCAATGACTCAATTCTTTCGTGTGTGTGTGTGTGTGTGTGTGTGTGTGTGTGTGTGGCTTAATTTTATTTTCCTGCTGGGTGCATTAACTTTGATCATCCCTTCCTAAAATGATTAAAGACCTGCAAAAGTTTTTATTGCATAGGACACTATTCATGACAGAGATTGGGAAATATGTAGTACTGGAACAAATCTTACAAATATTTCATTTTAAGAATTTGTTACATACATTTTTTTTTTTTACAGTTCATCTCTTTTTAAAAAGTTATAGCTAAGAGTTGAACATGTACAGTGAGGAATTTCAGGAATGTTAGAGATTAGAAAGTAAGATGAGTGACATAAAGGAACAAAAGCCATCATTCGTGCCAGCCATATATTGTATTGCTTGCAAAGCAACTGTACATGTTGCAATCAGTTCATAGTTAAATATTTTTACTAATCTGCTTTGGGAGAGCAAATGTCTTTCAAGGTTTCAAGTTCCTCTATAAGCTTCTTGTTCTGAACTTCCAGGACTGCAACACGACTCTCCAGACATTTTACATATTCTTTCTTTCGGCGTCGACATTCTTTAGCAGCTTCCCTAGAAAAAGTAGAAGCAAAAGGCAAACAAACATGTTGTGCATGCTACTGACAAGCAGACTGAAGTAAGCTTGGCGACAGAGGCCTAGGTGGCGTTCCAAGTCTTGGAACAGTACTCCTAATTCCATTTCAAAGACTAAACCACACTGGACTCTTAGTTAAGGTCCCGAGTGTCCCTTCCGCAAGTCCGATGGGCAGTTAGAACTACGGCATCCCCTGCCTTGATTGGGTTCAGAACAAACAAGGTCCAAGGCAGAGGCGGTTACTCTGCTTTATGGCAATAGAGATCTTTGAGGGCCTTGAGTTCCTCAATGAGGGTCTTGTTTTGGTTTTCAAGCACAGCCACGCGGTTTTCAAGACATTTGACATATTCTTTCTTCTTCCTGCGACACTCCCGAGCGGCTTCCCTGGAACCAACACAAGGCAGGTGACTACAGGAACAGCCTCCCAGCACAGTCCACCATGGCTTGATGGCATCCCTGCCCCCCGAGATCCAACCACACCTAGGGAAGGCTTGAACAGAGTCACACAACACACGAACCAGGCACATGCCTTCTGCACAACAACAGGAGCAATGGGAGAGCACAACCAATTTGCCCAAATGGTGTTTTCTCAGGGCACACATCTCAGGAGAGAAAAGGGCCAGCACTGGGTTCAGTGAGCTCAAACAATGGGCCACGTTTTGAAGTGGCATTTCTACAGGCATTACTAGGTCCTTCCAATCTTATTCTTTTCTGTTTGCCAAAAACCACACATATTTCCTCACAAAGACTCAATTTTGGGGGCCAAGATGATTCTAAGAATTAGTCCTCAGAAACCTTAAAATGTCAATGTTGAAGATTTTTATTCTTCAAAACTAAATCTTAGCAAAACAAGGTCGATCACAATGGTAAGAAACAGGCTTGGGGGCTAGAAAACACAACATGGATAAATCACAACGGTAAGCACGATGTACTTTTTATGAACCAAAATAAAATGGACACTGCTTCTGAAAATCAAAGCCAGGGTTACATAAGACAGCATTCAATAAATCAGATAATTTAAACCCACAAATGTGAGAATGCCACAATTAAAGTCATTGAGAAAAAACTACTGAATAACTCAAAAGCATTTCAAGACTTCACTAAGCCCATGCATTTAATATGCAACATACTGAGTTTTAAAGCACTGTAAACATGCCCAAGGGAAAGAACAGACTAGCAGCCAAAGCAGCAGACACAAACAGGAGGACGAGTTAGTCATCTTCATGCATTGTTCTTCTGAAAAACAATATAGCCCACATTTTCCTTTCTCCTTTACTTTAAAGGTGGGAGGGGATAGCAGCTATTTCACTTACATAGGTTTTGATAATAGCTTTATTTTGGAGTATTCAATTCTAGAATAATGGCTAGGTATTATCTTTCAGGCATATTTTAATGGAAGTAATATTGTATTTCTAAATACCAGGTACTGTAATGTCAATCAATATTGTTGTAGTCCTGAACAAGTATAATATGCACAAAATCTGTCCAATTGTTCTAATTTTAGAGAGCTGACTAGCTCACTGTGTATCTGTTTTCTCTATGGGAAGTAAAAGTCAGCAGAAAAGAAACCTGGAAATCCTAAGGAACTGCAGGAGAAGGACAGCCCCTGCCTCCTAGCCAAGAACCATGCACTCACCCTGTGAACTCACAGAGTTCTGGACTTCTCAACTGGTTAACAAAAAATAAAAAATGTAAAAGTGAATTGAACCTAAGAGAATAGTGATTAATCTACACAGTGCACAGAGAAAAGTTAATGAATCCAAACATACAAATTTGCCAGTTTGGAAATACAATCCAACTCTCTTCCACAAAGAAACTATATATCAGTTATAAAAACCAACATTTTCATGATTAAGTCATTAAACTCTAGATCTAGGAGGAAAGCAGTCAACCTACAAAACAAGTAACTGTTAAATTTTAAGCACCTAACCATACTGTTACAGGATTTAATTTTAAACTTCTGTGTTACCGAGCTGCTTGCTGTAAATACCCGTACTTTATATTTCACATTTGGGGGCAGACATATTACTAAGAGTTCAAGTGTCTCAGGCCCAAAGTTTGAAGTGGCCACACCAGTGGAAGGTCATTCCTAAGTCACCCTCAACTATGGAAAGCACCTGTTTCTCCTATTAATAGCTCAGTTTCCAAGCCTTGCGTCTAACCCGACCTGTGCTCAGCAAGGAGAAGGAACTCAGGGCAAAGGAAAAGCCAGCAAGCCTGTAGGAAATAAAGCTCTTGCTGTGTTGGTAGAAATATAACTAAATACCCAGCATAAGCACTGACCAAAGAATAAGCACAGAATGTGTAAGAGATGCTCCATGTTAGGTACAAAACCTGATCTCACGCATTGCCATGGAGTCACACCTGGAGCTTCTGGCGAGGTCCCCTGGAGCAGCCCTGGTGCTGGGGCAGCGGACCGGCTCAGGACCGAGCACGGCCTGGTTACACAGCCAGGTCCTGTCCAAGCTGGCTGTGCAGCCCTACTCAACTTACTGTTTACCTCTCTGAACATCAGTTCCTCCTCTGTAAAGTAGGGTCAATAACTAGGACAGTTCTCATGGGAAAGTTCTGTGGGCTAAAGGAACCATAGAAATACATTTGCTAAACAGATGCTAAGCACCTAATAGCTGTTCAGCAGCTGCATTTCTCTTGTGTTTCTCTGAGAAGATCTGAATGCTAAAAGAAGCCCTTCTTAGGATCCTGTGCTAT